CCAAAAGTAACACTAAGGGTGTGTTTGAGCCCGTTTAATTTTGAAAAATGTATTATAGAATAATATGTTAATGGAGAATGTGTGATTAAAAAAAATATTTCCGGTTTACTTGAAATATTATTTTAATGAAGAATGAGTGGTTGAAAATAAGAACAATGCTATATGTAACATAATAGTTGATATAATAAGTGTTGACAAAATGTGATTAGTTGAAAATTTTGATTGTATTTTAAACAATCCAATGATAGGTAGCCACGTGGCATTATGTTAAATATTATGTCAACCATTATATCCATGTAACATGATTGTGAAAATAAGTACTGTAGAAAAAATAATGTGGCATGTAAAATAATGAGTGCTAAATTTTATACCTTTATATGGTCCCAACAAAGAATAAGGGCCTGTTTGGGAGCGATTTTTTCACCCAAAAAATTAATTTTTTGACCGTTATTTCACTATTTTAACCGTTATATTTGACTTCTTCTCTCATAAGTGGATCTCACTTTTTCCTAACGGTCAAAAAATTAATTTTCAAAATCACTCCCAAGAAGGCTCTAATTATCTCAGGATTTCAACATCAGAAAAGTTCAGCTCAGAATAACTTTTGGTTGACTCAGTCTTTTCAGAAGCATAATTTTGAAAGTAAAAATACTATAAAGAAACTCTTGAAAGATAAATGTATTTGACACCAAAAAGTAAAAGGATTCTGTCATGAAAGTTACCTTGAGAAGAAGAATAGTATTCTTTTCATTCAGGCTTTCAAGATGCAAAACCAGGCCTTCAATGCATGCAATCCCAGGTTGCCTCCTTCGGATAATCACTTTTCCTACTGCTGCTCCTTCAAATAAGCATCAGGCAACAGACCCGTCCTCTTAAAACGAAGATTCAGAAAACGTTCCTTACGCAAAAGCATGAAGAGCCTAACAAGGTAACTCTTCAATTCTTGCAGATTCAACTGCAGAAATTAATAACCTGGGGTTAAATAATTATGTTATGCACTTTTTTTTCCCCAAAACAAGAAACATAATCAATGGCTGCTTCTGGACTGTTACAGTAAAGAGTTGTTTTCTCTGTTAAAGATAGAAGTATTGTATAGAATATTTTCCATTATATTTTTCCTTTTAGTGTAGGATTGTTTTCCTTTTACAATTATTTCATTTTATGTTTATTTCCTTTTATTGTTATTTGTAATCCTATAAATATGGTCTTTTACATTGTAATAAACAAGAGTTTATATTATAATATCATTCTTATTTTTCTTCCATCACCACTAACCATTTCTTTAGAGGAAGATTTTCTGATGCAGGAAAGGAAAATAAAGAAGATAGCAGCACAAGAGACAGAAAAATACCTCAAAAAACCCAATCCTTCAGAGGTAAGCCTAAATTTTTACACTTTTCTACTCAACAAAAAACACTAGAGGGGGAGGAGAGAGAAGATTTCTCCTCGTATAAGAAAAATCAAAAAGGAAAAAAAAATAAAAATCACTAAGCTAACATATCAATTCAAAATTTGCTACCCTGCCAAAAATCGTTACTTATGTAGATAAAACAATGAAAAACACTAGTAATGAGTTCTGCAGAGAAAAAAAGAAGCGAAAGCTGGATAAGAAGACAATTCTCCAGACAAACAAATGTGGATCATGATTTTGGGGGTGACGAGTATCCTGCCGCCATAGCAGCAAGTGCTTTGCATATTCAACCACTTCAAGAATCAAGAACTAGCCAACTAGGGATTAGAAAAAGACAACTAATGGCTTGAACACAAAGAATATATCGTTGTCATATTTGCCTCCTTGTACTTTGCTTTTAAAGATTGAAAATGGCAAATAATTTGTAGAACTGATCAAGCCTTAAAAAAAGCACCAAAAGCAAAAAAATGATTTTCAAATGAACAAATGAAAATAAAGGAATTTGATAATGTAGAGGAACAAAATTTCACGCAAAAGTTGGATGAGAAATGATAAATAGTTTTTCATATGTTTTAGGGATGAACACACCATGTATTTATACTATTCTACCATCCTACACGAAGTGGTTTCAACTCAAGTGAAGAGATACAATGTTCCACCAAGAAAACCACCAGAAATTTGAAAAAAATTCCTGCCAACGATCACATTTTGTAACCATGCAACCGTATAGTTATAGCATTGGTTGCCTCCAATTTCTCTGAAATTCCACATGCGACTGCAAGCTCCAAAGTCTTATGCGGTCGCATAAGCCATTTTTATGGCTCAATCTTTCTCTCTTCACACCTTATTTTGAACAATAAAATTACAACATCAAATATGAAGAGCAAAGCAGTAGATAAAGGAAATTTATCTGAACCACGCAAAGGTTCAGGGAAATTCTCCGGTAAGGATGTGGAGGTAAAGAGCACCAAAGATGTTTTTAATGTCTGAAAAGGGTTCTGATCTCATTTTTGTGGTATGAACAAATTGTCTATCAGATGAAACTCCAATTACAAGTTCAAATGCTACAGATGTCAA